TTTGTTCCTTTGTCAGTTCGTTATGTTTCATGTCGTGAGAACCTGGGCCTTTTTGACTCCTGATACCTACCTTGAGATTTAGAACTTTTGCCAAGTGAGTTTTTGTGTTGCTGTACAACTTAGCTTTGGCTATTTAACTACTTTCTATTTTTTGAAAGTNGTATTAATTTAAAGACAGACAACTGTCAATAAATGTAATCATTAAATAACAAATCTGTATTTTTACTGGTTACGATGCAGTAAAAATGTATATATGTATAATACATATATACATTTTTACTGCATCGTAACCAGTAAAAATACAGATTTGTTATTTAATGATTACATTTATTGACAGTTGTCTGTCTTTAAATTAATACTGAAAACATACAATTAATATTCTCTCCTTAAGCCAAAATCAGTCATGTGACCTCTCTTAATTCATCAAAACTGTCTGAGTTGGTCTTTCATTTTCCGTCAAGAGACTGAGTGAAAAGGGACTGAGTGAAAAGGCTTTTAAAAAAAAGAATAAACACTTTATTTCTTCTTTTAGTGTTTACTTTGACCANTCCTCTCCTGCTGATGTTCAGGTGTATATCAGTATGTAGTGTCTCTACTTTAAAGAGTCCTCTCCTGCTGATGTTCAGGTGTATATCAGTATGTAGTGTCTCTACTTTAAAGAGTCCTCTCCTGCTGATGTTCAGGTATATATCAGTATGTAGTGTCTCTACTTTAAAGAGTCCTCTCCTGCTGATGTTAATGTTCATATCAGTATGTAGTGTGTCTACTGGGACATGTCTCCATGCTTTAAGAGCCCAGTCTGCTCTGATTGGTTAGCTGGCCTGGCCACCTCTGTTGTGATTGGTCAACCGCTTAGAGATGTCCCGCCCCCTTAGCCAATCGCGTACAATGTGTTAATTGGAGCACAACATTTCCGTAGTGTGTTGCCGGGTCTGAATCAGAAGAAGACCACAAACCAAAACGTGTCTTTTATGAACTTCTGAAGTATGTCTGAGTATGATTTGTATTATTTAATAGATTTCATAGCTCGAGATTATATAGACACTTGATTTTGTGTGATGAAAGCCTTATTAAAGATACATTTTTGACTGTTATCGTCCTCCTCTTGGAGACCTGAGGAGTGTTTAATGGTGACCAGTAGATGGCGCCAGAGTTTCAGGAAATATTAGTTTTGAAGAAGTAATGAGCAGGTTTGATTCAGTTGGCGAGGCGACACAACAGTCGGGTCCGTCTGTGTCAGCTCTTTGGTGTCAGCTTGGTGTGTCCCTACCTTTACAGGTAAAGTCAAGCTAAATAGCTCTTACTGTCTATATTCTTATATTTTATTAAATTGTGGAATACACCACCAGGTAAGTATGTTTTTTAGCATTTTTCATACATGCGATGCAGCTCAAAGTGCTTTAACAACACAATATAAACACAAAATAAGGAATCAATTTATGTCAAACGTCTTTTAACACATGCAGGATATGAACATGATATATAAGATATCTGGAGAGCAAGGAGGTAGAAAAGGCAAGAGGATTAATCAATAAATAAAAACATGTAACAGATAACCCACATATGAAAAAATAAATAAATTCAATAAAATAATACATCAATAAAAACAATATTAAAAAAGAAAATGTGTATATATAATTTTTTTTAGCGATATTAATAAAAAAAAAAATAGTCTTCTGTAATTTTAAAATGTCCACTTCTTATAAACTATAATTGATTGTTGTTGAATTGCCTCGGAAATATTAACAGTACAAAAGTATATATTTGTCTGTCAGTCAACACTGAGTCAACTGAAATAATGTACATGGTTTTTAACCTTTAAGACAAGAATGGGATGAGAAAATGTGTTTTTGTCTCCAAAAGGTTTGTTATTTCTTAAACAGATATATCAATTAAAATGTCATTACACCGTGTCAGGTGTTACGGTCACAGGCCGTGTTGAAACTAATCTGTAATTATTAGGTGGATATTATTATATTTTTATAGCATCCTCTTATGTGTTACCAAGGGGATTACAGCAGGCCTTCAGCTCTGCGCATGCGCATTCCGCAGCATGCATCCCTCCTGAGCTCCTGTTCTGATTGGAACTCTATACTTACTGTCCACACCTTCAAAATAAAATTCACAAGCTACCCTGCAGTATACAAAGTCAATTCAAACTAGCTGCACCTTTACCAGACTTTAGGACACTTTAATGATCAATCATTATAAAACATATCATATATATTATTCTGAAATGGACCAATCTGCACAATGACTACTTTTACTGTCGCCACTTTCACGATATTTTGAGGATAATAATTTTCTACTTTTACTTGAGGAACATTTTGAATGCAGGAATTTTACTCTAACAGAGTATTCCTACACTCTGGTACTTCTACTTTTACTCAAGTACAAGATCTGAGTACTTCTACTTTTACTCAAGTACAAGATCTGAGTACTTCTACTTTTACTCAAGTACAAGATCTGAGTACTTCAACTTTTACTCAAGTACAAGATCTGAGTAGTTCTACGTTTACTCAAGTACAAGGTCTGAGTACTTCTACTTTTACTCAAGTACAAGGTCTGAGTAGCCTACTTCTACTTTTACTACAGTACAATATCTGAGTACTTCTACTTTTACTACAAGATCTGAGTACTTCTACTTGTATTACAAGATGTGAGTACTTCTACTTTTACTCAAATACAGGATCTGAGTACTTCCCCCACCTCTGAGAAAAAAAACAAGTTTTATTTTGAAAATCCTGAGCACCGAGCTTCCTGTTGTGGCCTCAGCTTGACTCTCCCCGGGGTGCAGAGAGGAGAGAGTGGAGCTCCAGGAGAGAGAGAGAGAGAGAGAGAGAGCGCGAGGAGAGGAGTCCCTGCAGCCCCAGGAGAGAGAGCCCCGGCCCGGCTGGACCCCCGGAGGAACACCCACAGAGAACCGCGTTTCCAGGGGAGAGAGGCCTCACACCAGGTAACCGACAATCACGCGTCTTTTCCCTGGGAAGGCAGGTGCTTTTCTCGGGCTGCTGGAGATGGAGAGGCGGCGGTTTGCAGAAATCTCTGGAGATCCCAGATCCTATTACTTACTTACCGCTGATGTGGCCTTATGTGGCCTCTGTGGGTCCGACAGTCAGACTGTGGAGGAAACATCTACCAAAGCAGCGAAACGCGTGGTGAAATGTGGGTTTTTTTGCGCACATATTGCGGCATAAATCTGATCTCAGAGCTGCTGTGCTGCATCTGTTTGTAGCTGAGCTGCTCAGCTTTGTTGTCATCTTCTCTAGATTACATATGCAGTCAAGTTGCATGGCTAGGTGGAGCTTTCCTTATATTACATTACATTTTAATCTTGTTTTCATTATAGCAATGCACCGCAAAGATAAAGCCACAGTTGCCATGAAGCTATGAGGGAGCGATATCCCATAATAACAACAGTGGGGCATTCAGGAGCGGCTAGATCTCCTTCATTTGGAAACAAGACGTTAAATTTCCTTTATTCTTCAAACAGAGGGAACATTTTACAGCAAAAAAGACGAGAAAAACATATTTCAAATGAAAAAAGTACAGAAGTACACATTCAGGTAGATAAGAAGCAGCAGTATTTATAAAATAAAATAAGTATCATGTAGAATGAAGTGTGGAAGATAACAGCAGTAACACGAGTTACATACAGGTTTGTGTTACAGATGGTCTAACTAAGGAATAAAGCAGTATTGTCATTAAACAGTTGCGGGCTGTGTGAGTTGCAATGCCTGCTTCTCTGCTGCTGTGTTCCTCTGCATGAGGAGGGATACATTAATAATTGTAAAGGAGTGTATTGTTGAGCAGAGCACTCAGAGTGTCAGCTCCGCTTTGGGCTGCTGGCCAAATCAAGAAAAGGTCCATAAAGTGAGGATTCAACAGGAATCACTGGAGACTCTCAGACCTGCTGATTTCACTCATACCAGTGTATACGTCTATCTCCACATAACACTGTAGATTGGCTGACGGTGCAATTTCATACTAAAAATATCAGCAGTAATATATTTTTACCCTTATTTTTTTAACAAATTAGTCCAAATGTGTCTCAATTGAAAGGCTTGTCAACCTAGTGGGCTTTTTTAAAATATCAAATTTTAAAGATCTCATCCGAATGTTCTGCCTATTTGGCATTAGATCAAAAAACACTTCTCTACCAATCACTGTTATCAGGACAATGATATCTGTTAGCCTTAACCACATTTCTGTTATTTCTCTGTCAAAGCCGCTCCTAACAGAAACTAACCAGTGTCGGCACATTGCAGATAACTGGGCGAAAGCATCGTTGGTTAAATGTAAAATAATCACGCAGATAAAAGCCCTGAAAACTCACTGTTGCTTTCAATGTGTTTGAGCTCT